ACCGGGGTGCTCCGGCTAAAGAGAGCGTGCTCCGAGGCTCCCCGTCATCCGGACGGAGCCCCGCTTGGGGCCGATAGCTGTCAGAAGCGAGCTGTGAGGAAGAGGAAGGCTCAGGGCTTTGCGCAGCCTTTCTTAGGGCACCGGAGAGCCCAGCCCTGGAACTAAATCCTTGGGCTAAATCCTTGGCTTCTGACTGAAGCTGGTAAGTCAAAGCAAATATGGCCAAGTGCTTTACAAGATAGAAACCTGGGCCTGAAGAAGTTCGGAATTATAAAACATTGAAGAACTAATGCAGCAAGTGGCAAGTTTTCCAATGAAAAAATATTTATTTTTTTAATACAAAAATCATAAAATCACCCAGTGTTTTGGGTTGGAAGGGACATTTAAAGGCTGTCTAGCCCAACCTCCCTGCAGTGAGCAGGGACATCTGCAACTAGTGCAGCTCTCTCAGAGCCCAGTCCCACCTGGCCTTAGATGTTTCCAGGGATGGGCCTCCTGCCAACTCTCTTGGCAACCTGTTCCAGTGTCTCACCACCCTCATTGTTAAAAAATTTCCTCCTTATATCTAACTTAAATCTACCCTTATTTAGTGTAAAACCATCACCCCCTGTCCTGTCACAACAGGCCCTGCTAAAATGATTGTCCCCATCTTTCTTATAGGCCCCTTGAAAGGCCACAGTAAGGTCTCCCTGGAGACTTCTCCAAGCTGAACAACCCCAACTCTCTCAGCCTGGCCTCACAGGAGAGGAATACTAGGAATCAGGACTGTTATGAATCTCTTCAGTTTCAGGCTTAAGAAAAGAGGAGAAAAAAAAAAAAAGCGCCTTATTAAGCAATAAAACAGTTTTTCACTGCTGCACTGTGACTGCTTTTGTGCTCTGTTTTTGCCTCCTGATTGGCAAAAACAAGCCTAGTGACAAACAGAAGCAGACTTTCTTATGAAATCTGGAAAGCTTTAAGTTAAAAAAAAATTAAAAATCATTCATATTCAAACATTTAGTGTTTCTGAAGAGAATATTTTATTTTCACCCAGATTTAAAACGTGCAGAGTTCCTATTTCCATGGAAAAGTGGTCTCTGGGGAGTGAGAGGAACACAAACCCACCTTTTGTGCAAAGGAAATCTGAAATCAGGTAAACTGCTTTAATCTTTTTTGGGTCCTAGGACTACAGGCTTTGCTTGCTGAGGCGTCAAACTGACGAGAAGTAGTTCTTCATGTGTGTGCAAATGTAATAATAACAAAAATTCCCAAATAATCTTACATATTGCTTAGCCACGGAAGATGTTCAGTGCTCTGTTGTTCAACCTGCTGTTGTCCATAGCAACAGGAACTGTCTATTATCAAACAAGCAAACATTATTATATTCTACTTACGTAACAGATTTCTGTTTTTAACCTCGTTTTACTGTTTTAGAAAGCTGATGCTGCCTGCCAGTTAAGTATTATGGTGACAGTTTTATCTTGTGGGCTAACTTACATTTCCTGTGTCAGTCTGACAAGCAGATAGTATCCTTAAATCGTGGCTACCCCTAACCAGCAAGGACTGGATCTGGGGCAGCAACATGTGATCCTACTGTCAACCTCCTAAATGAACTAGTGCCCTGCAGGGTCAGGATGCCTTGTGGAATTAGAATTCAGTTTTTTGATTTTTCTTTGTTTTGTGAATATTGAAGAGATTTCATGATTTTAAAAAGAGCTGATTCCACAGATCCTTCTAATTTGTTCATATGTAAGCCAGAATACCAGTGACCAAGGAGCCTGTGAAAGCAAATGCTGAAGTTAGAGAAGTTAGAGGTTTAAACCAGAAGTCACTCAAGAAATTAACAAACCCATTAGATTAAACTATCTCCTCATAAAAATAATATTCTTAAGATCAAGTTCATGTCTTTCATAAGAAAACTTGTAGTGTTCTTACGGTGAGGGCTACCCAGTCCTACAAAACACCTAAAACTTTTCTTTTCTTAGCTTACCAAAACATAAACATTTGACCTGAAATATTTTGGGTTTGGGGGCTACTTAAAAAAAAAAAAATAAAGAGTTTACTTGTTCCAAAACCTTAATCAGAAAATTACACAGTTCTCCTTGCATGAAATTCATATCCTGTACCCATTTAGTTGAGATGCTCTTTTTGTGTTTTTAATTTTTTTTTGTTAGAGCAATAGATGAGCATTTGGCAAAAGGCTGCCTTGTGCCTAGGACAAACCTTTTCCTGCTCTTCTGAAACACCCATTAGACATTCCCAAAATTACAAGTCTTTGGGAAATCAAGGTTGGCACATGCTCCATGGGAACTGGGAGCAGTGAACTCACAAAGACCCCGTCAGTGCTGAACGTGCTGCAGCTCGGGGCACTGAGCAGAACCTTCCTGTAACTGCTCTTGCCAGAGGCTGCTGGCCACTGTTGTGCTCAGCTAAATTAGAGAAGGAGGCTTCTGCCTTTGCATCAAGACCTTGAAGCCAGGGTCTAGATGTAGTTATACTGTTGAATTCTTAGAGAATTAAAAAAAAAAAGGTAGTCAGTTGTCCCTTGCCCAAACTAACAGCCGAGTTCCAGTTCCCAGGCTCCAGCTGCTGCTTGGCTTCATTGTGGAGATGTCACGTTAAGGGCCCAGCAGTAAGCAGGAGAAAGAACCAGCCTGACACAAGGGGGATGAAGGTCAGACTCAGGATGGAGCAGTAATAAAACAAGGATCGTCAGAGGAGGAATGAAAATATAAAGGATGCAGAGGGAGTGCAGGGCTGGGAGCAAGAAGGGAGCAGGGGAGCGTTCAGGAAGGGAGAAAGGAGAGAGCCTGCAAGTGTGAATAAAGCCAGGAGCATCACTGGCAGTTAAGCAGGACAGCATTTTCCAAGTCAAAGAGGTACAAGAGGCAATGCAGGGGCAATGACACCACATGCAGTGGTGTCTTCCACTACATTCAACTATGCCAGCTGCAATTAAACAAATTAAGAGAGCCAAGTAGTTTTGGAAAAGGGCTGACAGAAAGAACTCCATGCATTTTAATGCCATGTTGTTCAGCTCATGTAAAGAGAGCAAAAAGGCTCTTACCATTCGCATCCAGGTTGGTATAAAGCCTTTGTAGAGAGACATAAACCCTTCACCCTGCACGGTTTGAATCAAGCAGTCCGTGGAAGACTTGTAGAGCAGGCCCCTGGCAATGTTCAAGGAGAACAAGCAGTGTTAGGATTACAAATAAGCCATTTTTTAAAATCCCATCCCTCCCAAAGGACACTGTAGCTGATAAATCTGTACAAGCAAGAGCTCTTTTGGAAGCTCTCTGGAGTCTCGTCAGAACTGAAGTACTCCAAGCAGCTGGTTAGGCTGAGGTGGCCATCACAACAAACCCCCCTGGACAGGCAAAGCTAGAACAATAAAACGATCATCAGAAAGCTGAAGAGAAAGTCAGAGACGTAGCACTTCCCTCCCAGTGAGATCCATCAGACTCAGGGTTTCAGTTTTCCACAGCAAAGTCAGTCTCTGCACTGTCCATACCTCCCCTGCTTATCTCTTGGCTGGTTCATTATCCGGGTTTTGACCACATCAGCAGGAGTTCCCAGAACAGCAGCTACCAGGCCAGAACAGCAACTGTCAATAGCAACAGACACTTAAATAACAGGTTTATCACAACTCAAGCATCATGATTCCAGTTCTAATAGTACAGAATCATAGAATCATTAAGTTTGAAAAGACCTCTAAGATCATCAAGACCCTCCATCAACCCAACACTACCATGACCACTAAACCATGTCCCAGAGTGCCATGTCTACATGCTTTTCAAACCCCTTCGAGGGATGGTGACTCCAGCACCTCCAGGCCAGCCTGTTCCAATGCCTCACCACTCTCTCAGGAAAGAAATTCTTCCTAATTTCCAACCCAAACCTCCCCGTCACAACTTCAGCCCATTTCCTCTTGGCCTATTGCTGGTTACTTAGGAGAAGAGAACAACACCCACCAATATATAATATATTAAAACAGTTATCATAAAATCATGAGTAAAATCATCCTCATAACATAAATTTGATTTGGGAGGAGGCTTGCTAGTAATGCTTTTTCTCAGCTGTGCTCTCAGTGCCAGCTTCCCTCACCTCTGTGTATGGTTCTGGGGCAGGGATAAAGGAGCCACAATAAGCAATTGATGATATTGTTTGTATAAAGCAGATTTCTTTATATTTTAAGAGGGTAAAAGAGGTCATTCTGCATAGTCTGTATTGGCTAAAATTAAACTAGGTTAGGTAAAATGTAGCAGTTCTAGGGAGGTGAAAGTTTCTGTGCTCACACAGATGTGTGAAGTGTTTAAATGCAACAGCAAGGCACTTCTAGTGAGGGCAGTTTTGTAGCAGTGGTTGCATCCTTTGTCTTGTGTCTTTTGTACAAAGATGTCCTCTCAGGAAAAAAAAGAGAGAGTGGTTATAAAGGTGTGTGCTCTCAGCAGTGTCACCACCAGAGATGGCCCCTGCTCCTGCTGGCACAGAGGCAGCTCGGGACAGCGGGGCTGGCAGTGCCGGCGGGGGCGGGGTCTGGCGGACACAGCACCTGGCAGCACTGTGCGTCACAGCGTCGTCCACCAGCGGCGTGTGCAGGAGCAGAAGGTGCTTCGCAGAGTCGTAAGTGGTCAGATCTGTAAAGAGGATAATGAGGAACCCCAGCTCTGCCAGGGGGAACTGGTGTCTGTGCTCTTCACTAGTGGCATAGGATGGAGGCTGGACAAGACCGAGATTTCTAATGCAGCTCCTCCTGTTGGCACGGGCAGCACTCCACCCCCAGTTTTTGATGACAATTGTGGCACCTAGGTTGTGTCATTAGACATGTGAGTACCTGCTCCCTCCTACTACCATCTTCTCTGATATACCCTACAGATGATGATATGGATCCCAAGTAGAAAGTGCTCCAAAATAACTCATTAACATGAACCAGGAACATGATGAAGAGGATGGCTCTACCTCTCCCACCTCTGTGCAAGTGTTATAAAAATGTTAGCAATGTTAGACAAAAAAAAAAAATAGATGGTGTCATGGAAGTTATATCATGTTCTACTGGAAGCAGCCATGAGTTATGGCATCTGGGCCTCAGAATACAAGCTGGTGATCTGAACATTCCCAGCAGCTCTGGGTTACATTTCCAATGGCCTCACCGTAGGAGTCCAGGCTGCTAACCAGGATGCCACCTCCCAGCACTGTGTGGTGCTTTGCACCCCAAACATACCCAGTGGAGATCATTTCTCACTCATAAAGAGTTTAAGTTTACATTCTGAGACTGCACATTAACATTGTGTACAGAGATCCATACCTTAGTTAATTCTATAGCCCTCATTTAACAGCTCCTGCTGCAAATATCCTCCGTCCAGTGATTCCTGTGCTGCTGCAAGGTGGAAGTTTACACCACCTCTGATGTTTTACCTGGCAAAGAGGTCCCTGCTCTGCTGGTGTGGGACCCTCTCAGCTCCCAGCTCATGGTCCCTCAGGCTCAGGCACAAGCTGTTAGTTTCAAGCAACTTCGTTTCCACAGGAACAAAATGCTCAAGGCAGAAGTCACCCGCAGGGCACTTTGAACAGGTCCCCAGTGTAGATAAGCGAGAGATGAAGACCAGGGGAGCAGCTGACCTCTCCTTTCTTAAAGCTTAGATGTGGCCTGAAGCACTGCAGAACACGTGATGACATTTACCTCCCATGTTCACCAGGGCAGCTCTCTGGACATTTGGCACCCACCCAGCCCAGAGCCCCCGTATTCCTCCTTCAGACAGGATCTTCAGAAAGGCGTGGTGCACTCCTCGAAACCTGAAATCAATATGCAATAGGAAGTAGAGATCCTACCTATGGAGAAATCCTCAGTGCTTTGCTGCACCAGGTCCTCACAAAGGAAAGGCAGTTTATTCCTGCAAGGATCTGGCCCTTGAGGTCCATTTTTTGAACTGTTTTTGGATCTGTCTTTGTTTTTCATAGAACCATGGAATCACAGAATCCTTTAGGTTGGAAAAGACCTTTAAGATCAGAGTCCAGCCACTAACCCCACACTGCCAAGTCCACTGCTAAAACATGTCAGTAAGCACCACATTCACACATCTTTTAAATCCCTCCAGGGTTGGAAACACAACCAGTGCCCTGAGCAGCCTGTTCTAATGCTTAACAACCCTTTCAGGCAGTGATGTTTTACCAAACTCACTGGCTGCCCTCATAACCATCAGTCTTGTTGCTGATGACAGACGACCCTTTGATGCCACTGCTGGATTGCAATGCTAAATGTATGAGACACCAAACGACGCCAGCAGTTTCAGATGCAAAGAGCAGCTTCTCCTGGTATCTGCAGGAGAGTCTCAAGCCCTGCTGTCTGCAGGCAGCCCAGCCCTTCCCCGTGCCTGTGCATCCTTTTGTCCTGTTTCCCTCCTTCAGAAAGCATCCTCCCCCCTCCCCTGACAGAGCACTCGCATGCACGTGCTGTGGGGTGGGTGAGGGTTTGTGGGGTCTGGGACCCTTACATCAGATAAGGGAGGCAAGTATAAATGGAATAAGGAGGAAGCCTTGGATCCCCCACCTCTCCCCTGCACAGAGCTCTGTGCCTCGCAGGCTCCACTCTTCCCCCAGAAGGGCTCTGGGCAGCTGGGGAGAGGGGAGGCAGAACTCAGAGGGAACCACAGCCTGATCCCAGACAGGAAGAACCTGCCAGCTTCAAGAGGAACCGACCGTAAGGGCTTTCCTTCCAGCTTCCTTCTGCCTTCCATCTGCATCTGCACCTTCACCAGATCCGTCGGGCTGGCGAAAAACTGCCCGATGGCACCCGCAGACATGCCTCCAATTACAGCTTTCCTGTGAAAGAGGGAGAAAAGTGTGCTCCGGGATACACTGAGAACCTTGACACATCACAGTGCTCGAGCTGTAGGATCAGTCACGGTTCCTCATGCTGGTGCTGGGGTTGTGCAGTGGCCCACGGCTTCTCCAGCAGCTGTCACACCCAGCTGTAGGGTCAGCCACGACAGCCTGCACTTCCCAACATCCCCACCCCACGGGGTATTAAAGCAGCTCCCACTACAGCACAGGCCTCGACTGATGGCAAAACCATCCTGCCTCCCCTCTGATCCAGGGTAATTCCTCCAGCCCAGGACAGCTGCTCCATTGATGTGGCCTATCATGTGTTTCCTTCTCATTAGTAAAGTGTCCTTATTAGGGTAACCATGGTCCTAATTAAGCCTTTGAGAAACTTATTGCAATATTTCTTGGTCCTCTTCAGCTGAATGAAAAGATACTTTCCTGCAGCTAAAATCAGAAAGTCTGCATCAGTGTTTAAACCCCTTCTTTATATTTGCCCTCCTTAGGGTAGGCGAGCCATGAGAAGACAGCTTGGAGGGCTGGAGGACTCCTACGATACGGACAACCCCCAAACAGGCAAAAGCATAACTGTGCAGTGTTACCAGAGAGGAAAGGTTCCATCCTCAGCCCTGCCCAGCACAGCCTCACGGAGGTGTTCGTACGCAACCATGCGCACGCCGGAGTACACTGTGGGGAACAAAGGTGGGACACAGTTCTGGAGGTCATGCTGTGATAGAGAGCTCAAGAGATTGGCTGTAAAACACCCCAGAGCTCACCCGGGGGAGCTGGTCACTGTTCCCAGTGATCAAAATGGGGAAAGTGAGGGGGCTGCCTGGTAGCAATGGCAGAGCCAGAACTTTTGGGATCAGGGAATCTCCCTGGCTGAGCCGTATGGCTGCCAGGAGGCAGTGTGGCTTGTGCCCTCACGCTAACAAGACCTGACCCCGTTGCTTCCTCCTCAGCTGCTGCCAAGCACAGAACCTCCCACAAGTGCTTTTGAGGTTTATTGCTGTCACCGTATTTCCAAATAAAACAGAAAGCTGTTACCCATGGCAAAACCACTAATGCATTTCTTCATCCTAGTGCTTGCAACCTTATCTCCTTTTCCCAGCCTGTCCCCACTTCCCTTAAATAGAAGATATTTATTGTTTTGAAGACTCTGAGCGCCTGCTTGCGCTGAAGACCTTTCTGCAAAGACAACAGGGAAGTGCTATTTTGTTTTCTCAGAAGCCAGAATAAAGCTGTGGAGGGATGGGCAAGAGAAAGAGGAGATGAGACTGAGCCAGAATCCCATACTGAAGTGGGACTGCAGGACAGGCTAAGTCCTCGCAGATATATTTACAGTACAGGAAGATACGGCCAACTCGCTCCAGAGGGCTGTTTGCTGACCACAGAAAGCAGGACCCAGACCCGTCCCGTGACGAGCAGGCAGGTACCTATGTGTCGGTAGACGGCCGGCGTGGCCCCTCGCCAGAGGCTGGCGAAGCCCTCCTCCCGCAGCACGCCGGCCGCGGTGCGCAGCATGCCGCG